CAACAAAGCTGACATACTTTTCTGAATTGTTTTGTATATAAAGTGGAATTGCAGGATTGCTGTCACGTAATTTGTTGTTAAGTACTAAGAAACTTGTTCGCTCTGAGCTCGCGGTGTCACGTAACCACAGAAGCAAGAAAAGAATAATTGCACACGTCACAATGGTAAATCTAAGCCTCGTATTGTAACTGGCAGATAACATGTTTAAATAAATGTTAACTTTTCTCCTTCTGTAAAAGAGATGACGTTTTGCCATAAAATAGAAAAGGAGCACAAAAATTCATTGTAGACACTAATAAACATAACAAAACGACCCGCAATAAAAAGCAGTATTTTAAAAAGATTCTCGCTTTTCATGTTGTCCAAATAAGGCTAGCTTCTTCTTTCAGTTTAGTGTAAATTACATATGCGCACTTCGTCCCAAACTCGTAATTATGAAGTGTTTGACTTAATAAATAATTGACAAAAATTCTCTGTCTACATGATTGAGAAGGGCATTTATTTGAAAATTGGAGCGATTTCATCGACCGACAAATAATTTTGAACACTAAGCCATACTTCAGTAATGCTTATGATTAAAATAAATGGGGCATATAGTTTGTAAATTACAGTGTCATGATATATACATTAATAAATGTAAGGCAACTTCAATTACTTTCAATAATATTTTGCATCCGATAAAGGACCATATGCCACAGAAATGCTTTTTATATTTATTTCTCATTTTTGTATACTCTTTTAGCATCCAAAATATAAGTAATTGGCCAATTACCGATTGCCAACTGTTGCTTTTGGCAATATGTATAGTTACAATGATTTTGTGCTTTATATGAAAGTCAAAATAATACTTTGTTTACATTTTGCTACATTAATGTCAAATTGATTCACATTAATCGCAAATTTCTGTAAGTAAAAAACTTCTAAAACTCTTTAAAACTATTATTTAAAAATTATAAAAGTTTTGTTAGCCCTTTCTTAAGAAACACAAATTTATTTGTGTCTGAGGCATAATGTGCATTGAAAACAAAACAAAAAAAAAATAAGATAAATACATAAAGAACTGCAAACAAATTTGACCATTAGCAGACACTTTGTAATAAAAAAGATAAATACCTTAAGTAAATGCAATGTGGTAACAACAAAACGTCGGTTAACAAATATATAATTTGCGTTACTATATAAGAGCGTAAACTATCACAATGGATTTGTTTGTTTCCGTCGAGACTCGCAAGTCACCGTAACCGTATCAATAACCTAGTATATATTTACACTAGTAATCGAAGCGACATAATCATGTTCGAATTATTTCAAAGGCGTTTAACAGAATGTTCCTAAACTTAAATCCAATGCTGTATCATTCAAATATGACATATAAATGACAAAAGCGTAAGATATAATATTTACTACGCTTTTCACATAAATAACAGTTGTTAATAAACAGTGTAAGAGTTAAAAATTGTGAAACTTTAGATAAACGTAAAATGAAAATTTCTATTTCTTTACTTTGTAATCGATTTTCTTATAATTTTACAACACGGTTTTAAATAAAAGAATCATTCTATATTTTTGTAGCATTTCCTGACCTATGGCCAAAACTTTGTATATTTAGAATTTACCAAAAATGCAACTGGGCACGAAATGTCCAGCTAAAATCTAATTTAACAGTTTCCAGTGTTTTGACAGTTATATAAACCCTTCAAAATTGTATCAGAAGTAACAATTAGTGCTGTCGCTAAATGAAAATAACAGCATTTGTAAACATTTAACAAATCAATTGACAAGTTTGCTGTCAAAAACATACCATTTTTGCATTTTGTCATGTTTAGACCAGTCAACTATGATGTAAAAAACACATTTACAACAATTTTTGTACATAATTTATATTATTTTATGTATTATTATATTATTTTCTAAAATTTGAAATCTGTCCCTAAAAACCACTCCTGAAACATAATCATAATAAGTAAAAGTAATAACTGATATTTTACTTATTACTGAGATTTACATTTCATATGCCACTCATGTAACAGTCACTTCTGTAACGACTTATTTTGTAACAGTAGTGACCAGAGAAGTCACAGTAGACTCATTTAAAACATTCAATCATGTATTATCATTTAAGAAATACTAATAATATTAAACTAGGGGATAAGAACTGTGACAGTTTACTGGATTTTGACATATTAAGGTGAATGTGTTACATTTAGTATCTTCTTGTATTAATGAATTTAATTTAAATTTGATGAATTTGTGAAGTACCTTGTATGCATATTTTTCTCAAGGCTCAAAAGAAATGTCTCTCCTGTAACAAAAATGCCATTCATGTAACAAGATTTAAATGACATTTTAATTAACTACTGTCTTGTCAGATGGTTATCAAACACAATATAATATCTTTCAGATGACATTTTATCTGAAAATAAAATTAAAATCGGAATGTGACATAGCATATGATTTCAATTTATAGTCTGGTCAATGGTCAAGTTTTCATGACCCGCACAAGCGTCTAACCCTAGCCCTAGATCAATGGCCGCCATGTTCGATGATCAATCTGCGTATTTAACTGCATGCCTAACCCTAACCTAACCCTAGGTAAAGTTCAGAGTAAAGGTGGGTACAGGTCAGAGTAAAGGTGTGAGGGTTAAGGTATGTTCATACATGTAGTTAACTTATACTGCTGTGAGTAATGGTAAGTTAAGGAGAAGGAGTAAAGGTTTTGTTGATAGTTAACTTATGATTGATGAAATAACGGTGAGTAAAGGGATCGGTGCTAAGGATATGTTGATAGTTTACTTGTATCCAATGTTGTAAAGGTGAGTGTTAAGGTTATGTTTTATAGAAAATCGGTGTTTTTCATCATTTTCAACAATAAATTATTACATTAATATTGTATATATCTAAATAAATAAAATACCATATTGTAGTGATGGATGTGTGTTTAAGATAAAAAAAATGCATTTTAAATATATGTCTGTCCGTCTGTCCACAGTAGTGTCTACAAGTGTATTTTCTTTTGACAAAAATTGCGTGCGGGTAAGGAGATTGGCGTTTTTTATCATTTTCAAATATGAATTATGCCACCAATAATAAATATATTTCTATCAAAAATGCACCATATTGTAGGGATGGATGTGTACTTTAAACTAATAAAATGCATTTGAATATATATGTGTCCGTCTGTCCCTGGAAGGGTGTACAATTATATATACATTCGAAAAAAATCGCGCACGCTTATACCTATTTTTATCAATATGTAACAGAAATATCCGTCGAATAAGATTACTTTTTATATAATCCTTCAGACATTGAATTAAACTTTATTGTTAAAGGTCCCATTGATTGGTAATATACCACAGCGATATTTTCATTTATATTCGTAAGAAAAAGTCACTAAACCTTATCTAGCGGAAATTACCGACTGCTGTTGTGTTTATTGCAGCATAAATGACCGCTTATCATTGGCCAGTATTTCACGCGTTTTACAATTCAACGCACCTCGGCGATTTACGGAAAAAGTTGGTAGATACTCGGTGTGACGTCACATCCAGTACTCATTAGAGAATCGCCATATTGGAAACATTGAAAAAAATATCGTACCGTAATTTTTATATTTATTGAGCGTAATTGCTTGGAATTTAGCAATGGGGGGCCCGAGGTGTGTTGTTTGAGTATGCAGTAATCAGAGAAGTGAGCGGATAAGCTTACATCAATTCCTTAAGGACACAAACATTCGACAAAAGTGGGTGAGGGCTATCAACTGTACAGGTACGAATGTCTCTAGAGCTGACTGGAATGGACCTAGTTCTTCAAAATCAGCCCTAGCACAATTTGTATGCTCTGAACATTTTGAATTCCCATGCTTTACCCTCACCATAGAAGTCATTGGCAGCAGGGATTACCATACAAGGCTGCCCTTACTGACAAAGCGGTACCGACCCTGTTTGGTCTTCAGATACAGAAGTGCAAGAAAAGTCTAGAGAATCCAAGTTCTAGATGAGCCTTTAGAAAACGTGAATTTGAAAGAGTAAGTGTGTTTTATGCACATTTATTTAATGTCAAATTTTTGAAAAATTCATCTTAAAATAAATTAAATTTTGTGGCTAATATATATACTGATCGGAGACAATCAACCGGACACTTTTGGAACATTTTTCCCTACAGATTTCATAATTTTTAACTTGGAGACCAAACAATTTGACACAGTTCATCTAGGTTCTTCTTACTATCAAACTAGTTTGTTTATTCCTGATTGTATTGACACTTATATCTGAAGCTCAACAAGGAGGGTATCCAAATTACCTAAAATGTCTGCAGTACAGTACCAGGTGTACAGGTCGAGCATCGTTGGGTGCCCTAAATTCCTCCTCCTAGGGTCAACAGCCTTATTTTGTGTGTCAGAAAGTCTTCCTATCTCTTGATACTGCCAACCCTTCTGGCGAGTGTTATAGGCAGGAATTAAGTGCATGTCTCAACAAATGTTCGTTAAGAAAGAAATTAGTTCGATATTTTTCGATCTTGAATTCTACATATGTCGCAAATAGCGAGTGTATTGAACAACAAGAAAGACTACTGGACATTGAAGTAAACAAAGGTAAACATTCTTCTACAAAATTACCTAAACTAGATTTGATATCATTTGGAGGAGATAAGACAAAAGGAGTGAATTCTGGGATTCATTTAAATGTTCAGTGCATGAGAATCAATCTCTTTCAAATAGTCAAAAATTCAATTATTTACGAAATAAAGTCTTTGGAGAGGCTCAACGTGCGATCTCAAGTCTAACATTATCGGACGCTAATTATAAAATTGCAATCGATATCTTAAGGGAAAGATTTGGAAAAGTGCAAGAAGTAGTTGACTTACATTACAATAAATTAATCAGTTTGGAGCCAGCATCCAATAAAACCTGAAGTTTAAGAAGCTTGCTCGATACAGTTGAAAGGCATTTACGCAGTCTAGAAGTGTTACATCAAGATATTGATCAAGCTGTGTTTGTGTCAATGACACGAGCTAAACTACCTGAGGAAGTTCTTGTTCAGTTTGAAATGTTAAATGGGTCCAACAATGAGTGGAGTATAGACAAGCTTCGAAAACGATTGAATGAATATATTCTTGCCAGGGAAAGAGCAGAAAAGAAAGATAATGTGTTGGAAAAGAGAATACATGCATCGTCTATTCAATCAGGATACAAGCGAAATTCAGCTCAACTAAGGAGTTATACACATTCAGCTCAGCCAAGAAACTATACAAATTCACCCCAACCGAGGAGTTATTCGAAATCAGCACACTCAAGAACTTATTCAAGTTCTGCTCATGTGCTTACATTGAATAACCCAAAGCAACTTGCACATAGACAACAGACTGAAAATTATGCAGATAAATGTCGTTATTGTAGGCAGAAACATTGGAGCGATGAGTGCACACAATACCGAACTATAAATGAAAGAAAACAGCAATTAAAAGACAGCTGCTTCAAGTGTTTAAAAACAGGTCACAAATCAAGTGAATGTAAGAAAAACAAAATTTGTGCACACTGTGGTGAAGTGAACAAGCATCACAGAAGTTTGTGTCCTCAAAAAATCAAGGTGAAGGAATCAATGACGCATTTAGCAAACGAAGAAACAGAATATAAAGAGACTGAAATTTCTGAGGAAAATGTTCTCGTGTCGTCAAATGAAATGGTGTTAATGCCGACGGCAATTACAGATATTAAAAATCCAGATACCTCTGCAACACAGTCTGTTAGACTTTTGTTGGACTCTGGATCTCATCGGACATATACAACTGAAAACTTAGCAAGAAAGTTACATCTCAAAGTAACGGGAGAACAGGAAATAAAACTTGTTACGTTTGGTAATAATAGTACGCAATGCATCAAAACAAAATGTGCTAACATTGATGTTAAATTGAAAAATGGTGAATACCATTCAATCAGTGTGAACATAGTTCCGACAATAAGTGGCAATTTGCATCAAAGTCCAGCAGGTGTTTTGGATAAGGAGCACGTTAAACATATTATTAGAAGTGTTGATTTAGCTGATACATTACCAACTAGAAACGAAACATCATCAATCGAAATGTTAGTTGGTAACGACTATTATTTGGATTTTATTCTGTGTCAAAAGATCGAACTAAATTCTGGTTTGTTCCTTCTTGGGTCTAAGTTAGGATGGATCCTTACCGGAAGAACTTCTGATCAAGATAGTGATGGCCCATGTATGCTTATTCTAACGTATGGTAATTATGCAACAAATACAAGTTTATTTGCCGATGTGGATAGTGTTGCACCTGTGAAACCAAATTTAGAAGACTTTTGGAATGTGGAGTCAAAAGGTTTTATAGCAAAACAAAATATCTCAGATGATGACCATGAAAAAGTTTCAGGATATAATTCAGATTGAAAATGGCCGATACCAAGTCACGTGGCCTTGGATTGAAGAACTTCCTGATTTACCTGTGAACAGAGACTTGGCAATAAGTCGCTTAAAAAGCTGTGTAAATAAACTAAAAACAAAACCTGAGTTAATGATGAAATATGATGAAGTTATGAGAGATCAGCTAAGTAAAGGTGTTATAGAGAAAGTTGAAAAATCACCAGTAGATTGTTTGGTACATAATTTGCCACACCATGCTATTATCACACCGCAGAAAACAACAACTAAGATACGCGTATTATACGATGCTTCGGCGAGAACAAGAAAATAAAATAAAAGTCTAAATGAGTGCATGTATAGGGGACCAGTAATGCTACAGGACCTCTGTGGTATGTTACTACGATTCAGGATGCATCCGATAGCAATCGTTGCCGATATAGAAAAAGCATTTTTGCAAATTGGATAAAAACCTAGTCAGCGTGGTGTCACAAGATTTCTTTGGTTGAAAGACTGTAAAAATCCTACTGTAGTTACTGACAATATACAAGAATTCAGATTTTGTAGAGTAATATGTAGTCCGTTCTCATTAGGAGCAACGGTAGACTTCCATTTAAAATGTTATGAAAATCCAGTTGCAGAAAATCTGAGAAACAACATTTATGTAGACAATGTTATCACTGAAGCTGAAAACACAAGTGAAGCAATACAGCTATATACAAAATCAAAGGCAATGTTTGCAGATGCCTCGATGAATTTACGGGAATGGATTACCAATAGTGAATTTGTAAATGAATTCATTCCAAAGGAAGACAGAGCCGATACGAAAAGTGTTAAAGTACTTGGACATTACTGGAATGTCAATGAAGATACAGTTACAATAGCAGGTCCAAAAAACAAATCAAACCGGAGTGGACAAAACGTACTGTGTTGGAAACAATTTCGTCTGTTTTTGATCCACTCGGCTTGCTATCACCAGTACTCTTACGAGGAAAAGTGTTTATTCAATCATTATGGCAGAAAAATATCGACTGGGATGACAATTTGACTAAAGAAGATCAAGAAAATGGTTGTCTATTTTAATAGATATTCGCAAAATAGACACGTTGCAAAGATGCGTTTGTGCGTTCACAGGACATTCTAAGAAATACTTATTATTATGTTTCTGTTATGCATCGGAAAAGGCATTCTCAACAGTGATATATTTGCATGTTTCAGAGGAAAATACAACTGATGTCAATGTAATCTTTGCAAAAACAAGACTTGCGCCTATTAAGAAATTAACAATTCCGAGGTTGGAGCTTCTAGCAGTTCTGATCGGACTGAGGTGCTTAAAATTTGTTAAAGAGCAATTAAGAGTGCCTATTGAAAAGCAATATTTATGGACAGAATCGAAATGTGTTTTACAATGGGTTACGTCAGATAAGAAATTACCGTTATTTGTTAAGAACAGAGTCAGTAAAAACAAAGAGCACATTGATGTAAACATGACATACATACCAACTAGAGAAAATCCAGCAGATGTTGCATCCCGAGGGACAACATTGGAAAAATTAGCAACTGACTCTAATTGGTGGCACGGTCCTCAGTGGTTGTTGAAGCCTACTTCTAATTGGCCAACCGATTATCAAAATAAATGATTATAGCTCACAAATAGTTGAAATGGAAGAACAAACAAACAAACAAGACAATAAAGAGACAATGTTAATGAAAACTAAAATTAATGCGGAAGAACATAGTAATAATCCTCCATTTGTCATTGACAGTAAAATATTTTCTTCTCTTACAAAACTGCTCAGAGTAACAGCTTTTGCGTTGCGATTCATACAGAAACTAAAGAAAGTTGAAAGAAAATATGGTTATTTAGAATGTGAAGAATTGTACAAAGATGAAATCATGTGGATTAAGCAAATTCAAGAAACTCATTTTCAATGTGACATCAATTCTATTCGAGCTAAAAAAGGTACAAATAGACAACAAAAATTAGGGCTATTTCTTGACAAACACGGGTTATTAAGATGCACAGGAAGGCTTGAAAATGCAAATTTAAGTGAAGGTGCCAGACAACTAATACTTCTTCCAAGAAAAGATCATTTTACTGAATTGATTGTGGAAAAAACGCATAAAGAACTACTGCGTTGTTTTGCAGACGCTTGCAACAACGAGGAAAAGATTCTGGATTTAACATGGTCGTGCAACAGTGAAAAGAGTGTTTAATAAGTGTGTAGTCTGCAGACGCCACGAACGTGGTTGCTATAAAATGCCACCATTGTGTTGTCTACCGAGGTCAAGAGTGACAGAATCAGTACCATTTTCAAGAACAGGACTAGACTATTTTGGTCAAGTGTACTTGAAAACAACAACAAGTGACGAGAAAAAGGCATGGGTATGCTTATTTACGTGCTTAGTAACTCGTGCTGTGCACCTTGAACTAGTTTGTGACATGACCACAGAAGAATTTCTCTTAGCTTACCGTCGTTTCATAGCTCAAAGAGGTACTCCATCGCATATAATTAGTGATAATGCAAAGCAGTTTAAAGCCGCTAGTTTAGTGATAGATAAGATATGGCATTGTATATTACATAGTCAAGAAGTTCAAAGCTACTCTGCAAATGCAAACATCCAATGGAAGTTTATAATAGAGCTCGCGCTTGGATGGGAGGATTTTACGAGAGGCTAGTCGGTCTTGTAAAAAGATCATTCAGAAAAGCTGTGGGGCGAAAACTCTTAACTATCATTCAAGCTCAAACAGTTATCAAAGAAATTGAAGCCGTAGTGAACTCAAGACCTTTAGTCTATATTTGTGATGATGTAAACTCTACAATTGCATTAACACCGAGTCATTTTCTTACGTTGAATCCAAAGATCGGTATTTCACAAGTTTCGGACGAAAATGACAGTGAATATTTGCAACAGAAAGCTCTTTGGAAAAGTTGTTGAAAATTTGGAAGAAAGGTCAAAAACTTTTAAATAAAGTTTGGCAAATATGGAATAATGATTACTTACTAAGCTTACGAGAAAGAATGCAAACACGTTTGAAAGCAAGTCGTATTCAGTCGCCTGTAAATCCAACAATTGGAGATATTGTTATTGTAAAAGAAAACTTTTCTCGAGGCAACTGGAAACTGGCAAAAATTGAGAAGTTAAATGTCAGTCGAGATGGTGCTATAAGATCATGTCAAATTAAATTGGCTTCAGGAAATGTTCCGAATCGTCCAATGAATTTACTTTTTCCCATTGAAACGACTCAAAATAATATAGTTACAAAAGAAAAAGTGATGAAAATGTGCTTGAAGAGCAATTAATACGTTCAAACAGAAACAAAAACAAGATGCAATGTTATCAGATGTCCGAACGTAATGTACTTTCTGCAGCATCAAAAGCGTTAAAAGCAATTAAACAACAATTATCCGAATAAAAGTGAATAGTTAAGGCGGAGTTTAATCAAAAACTATGTTAACTTTAACGTTAACGATTGTACACTGTGAATGCTACTCCGGACATTTGTTTGTTTACGCAAAACTCACATGTACAAATAACCTCAACGGAGCATAGTTACTTTGTAAAATTACCCAAAGTTTTTCTCGCAAAAATCGTGCAAATCATGGAAATAGCATATAAAATAAGAAGAAACTTTGTATTGTGTCATCATTTCACAGTAGACACCTACAGATAAATATTAGAGAAATTGCAAAATATTAAAATGCGATATCAATGCGATACTTGTCAAAAGATGTATAAGTATAAGGGAAATCTACTAAGACATGTTAAAGAACGGCACAGAGAGGTTGAACATTGGAATTGTCCTGTTGAAGAATGCACATCCAAATTCATTCGTCGGTGATATTTGTGCAAACATTTGATACTAAAACATGGCTACACATCATTGAAGTCACGAAAATCTGCTATATCAGCCACCAGAGAAAACGCGCTTTCACAGAACTCATACTACGATGACATTCAGCGACGATGATTCTATATTAGATATATTGTCATACAACGACACACACAACGCTTTTGGGCCAGTTTTAGACAGTTTTGATTTGAACATGCTTGATGAAACAAACACCAGTCATATGATAACGTCAGTAAAAATAACGTCAGAGACGTAGACGTAAATGATTGTCAGGCAAGTGTTGAGTGCAAGGATGTTGAAGTTCCAATTGAAATAAACAATAGTTGTAGTGAACGTCAAAATAATATTTGAGACTCAATAAGTGACGTTAACGTCGACGTAAACGTCAACGGAATAAATGGCAACCAAAAGGATTCTGGACAAAGTACAGAAATTAAAAACAGTGTAGCTGAAAGTGATAGTGAGAAGGAGGACGGTTATAGTGTCGTAACAAGTTTCTCCGAGGGAGATGATATTGACGTCGACGTTGACAGTCATTGTGATCAAAACACAGAAAATTCGGCGTCTGAAAGTATTGTTGATGAAAATAACAACTGTTGTTTGGATAGTAAAGACACAGATCTTTCTGACGACGGCAGTGACAACGACGCTATCAATAATAACGTTTGTGATGAAGACATGGTAATTATTTCAAGTGACGGAGAATCTAGTGGAGGAGACAGTGACCCAGAATATCAACAAATCGAACTAGCCACGTCTCAATACAAAACCAAAGTGTAGAACTTTACATTTAGACAAAGGTTATGTATACGTCAAGGACAAGAATACATTTTAGGAGAGAATATTGAATGTGACTATTTTGAGTTTGACAAATAGACTAAAAAAAAATGTGTGTTCGTGTGTTTAATTATGTCAAAAAGACTAGTGTTGCTTTTCAATATGAGCACAATAATTTGAGACTGCCATGAACATATTGATCTTATTTTGTATATTTTACAATTTCTGTATATATTGACTTGGAAATGATATTGTTAGAAAACATTTTGATTGAAATGATTTTGTAATAAGTAATTACTAGTATAATATCAAATTTACATGAATATTAACGGTTCTATAATATCTGAATACTTGAAATTGTTCTTAATACATAATAAGATTATACAGGATAAATATTGTTTAAATTTCAACACTTTAATTTGAACTTAAAACTTTGAAGTTATTGCGATGCTTTGCTCATTTCGCTTTGGTGGGAGTGTCGCAAATAGCGAGTGTATATATACAATTAAGTTATCGGAGTCAGTTAATGACCGGTTAAGTCAAGACTCCGTCGGAACCTGAAAGAACTCCGTCAGAATCCGTCGGAGTCGATACTTAAATATTTCATGTATCACGAGTTTCATGCTATTTTCAGGTTAATTGTTACCTATATAAAGGGAATGAAATTGGAAACCGGGGTGATTAGTTTGGGATTAGTTTAGTTGAGTTTAGTTGTGTTAAGAGAAAATTACATTTGAGGATTATTCAGGAATATTGTAAAATAAAATAAAATAATTGGATTTATAAATAAAGAAAGTTAACAAGAAATTATTGTGTTTACTTTAAATAAAATAAATTCCAGTGTGGCAAGGAAATAGAAAGCTACAGTCCTAAAACTGAAAGTTATAAAACTTCGCCACAACATAGTCCTAAATGGAATGTTTTGATGAAATCTGCACTGAAATTTGTAAAATGCTTAGGCTAACACAAGGATATATTACCAGATTGATTTTAAGTCAGCTTGGCGTGATCAATTTGAAACAACTTAGCCTATATCCACGCAGGAGGAGTGTTACACGAAGAATGGAGTTCTTATGATAACTTGTTCAGGAGTTATTGTGATAACTGTCACGGAGTTCGTCGGAAAACATCTGTATATACTACCAAAACACTCGTCAAAAAAGCCCCGTGGTATCTAGCTCATTCATTCTGTAAATTACGCAAACAAAATATGTTTCATCATAGAAAGGAAAATATGCTAAAGAAATGCGTCTAGACCTTTTTCTGTTAAAAAGTTTGTTTAAACTATAGTTAATGATAATTTTTTTTAGATTATTGGAGAATATGAAGTCACACCAACTGGAAATGCCCAGCAACCCCTACCAGTCAAAAGTTAGTATCTCGAAGCTATCGTTATTTTTGCGTTAACGAATGTGTTAACGATTGACGGAAGGTTGGTGAACGAGAGACTAGCGCGGGTATCTCGGAGGCGATATTTAAGCAATCGTTCGTTACTTACTCTTAAACGAGTAAACGTAAACCAAGAAGAATTGCAAATGCAGAAAGTTCCTATGAAACTGACGTGATTTCTATTGAAACTGCAAGACTAGTAACTAAGGGAGAACGATTGTTGGTACAACAGCAGTGACTGACGATTGTGCCGCAAAGGTTGCAAGTGGATATCAGATATTATAAACACTTTACTAAGTCAAAGCAAATATTCTGGCTGGGCTTCTCCTCATTTGTTCAGGCTTTAGCAACATGTTGTTTCAGGGTGTATGCATACTCTCAAGATTCAAACTTGAAAATGTTGCTTTAATGATGAAATGTTGAAATTGCAAATATCTAAATGAATACTCAGTCGTCATAGTATCTATTTTGAATACTAGTTGTCTGTTTATTTAAACACATATAAGGACAGTTAATTAAGATTCAAGTTAGTCCATAATATTGCTTAGCAAATGCTTAATAAATGGATTATGTACTCGTATATGCAAATGGTCTCATCATAAATAATCTAGAATTCTT